CGCCAACTATATTCACTCATTTGATGTGGTCCTGCTTCAGGAGACCTGGGCATGTGATAAGATATCCCTTACAGGGTTTACGGTCATTTCCTTGGCCGCCACCAGACAATCTACGACAAGAAGGCCTAAGGGTGGTCTAGCTTGCTTGGTCCCTACTGCTTTGAAAGTGGAGACAGTGGAGCTGCCCCCCTGTGGCTCTTTAGCTATGGCGCTTCTAATTAAGAGAGGACGCAGCAAACCGTTAGTGTTCAACATTTATCTTCCCCTGACAATGAGGCAAGCTGATACTAAGGCTCACTGGGGCGTGCTGGAGAATTACATTACTTGTATGGAAACTAAATTCCCAGCACTGTACATCCTTATAGGGGGCAACTTTAATGCCCGATTGGGAGTCCAAGTTCCCCCATCAATTGAGGCACTCTACTCCCAAGAAACCCTCCAGGCCATAGGACACCTGATTTCAGCCAGACATTCTAAGGATGAATTAACAAACTTTGCTGGCATTCAATTAGCCCTTTTAGCAGCCCAACACAATAAGATAATTCTTTTTTTTTCTGAAACAAATTTTATTGATTTTAACAAGAAACAAACAAGACAAAACATCATTAAACACTAAAAACATAAAACCGCTTTCCATCACAGATCTTTACAAAGCAGGTAACACATTATTTTATATCGCATTCTAATTTAACTCATTTCAATGTAGACACATAAATTCCCTTTAACAGATTTCACATTATTTCTCTTTACTCTTATTCAATAACGTTTCTTTTCTAGTTTATCTGCTATTCAATCATCACACTTCTATTTTCCTCTGACTTATTTTTGTTTTTGTTTTTTTTAAAAAACAAATTTTGTTAGCTTTACAAAACATACAAACAGTCAAGGCATATTAACATAAAGAATCTTTCTGGAAAAACCAATAAAACGTGCCAAATGTAATATGTGCATTTACATTATCTGCTCATCTTCATATCCTATCCCAATTTCTCCTTTTAAAAGGCAAAAATTTTGATTAGTAAGAAATATAATCTGGATAACAGAATAAGATAATTCTTAATGGGAGTACCCTAGGTGATCTAGCTGGTGAGTTTACTTTTAGTTCCTCTCGTGGAAGTAGCGTTATTGATTTTGTGCTGGTATCCCAGCTTCTTAGAAAGGCAGTCCATGCTTTTTATGTGGACTGCCTTACGGAGAGTGACCACTACCCCCTGGTTACAATCATTGGGCTTTCCTCAAATACACATCTCCCTAGGGGTCCAGGGACAATCTCGGCCTTTGAATCACTAATTAATAGTGTTCAAAGGGAGCTAGGAGCCATCCGTAGGCCGAGTGGTCCATATCATTCAAGAAGTAATTCTTGGTTTGACAAAGAGTGTCTGATGCTCAAGAACCAGATTAATCATGTTTACCGGCTCTATCGTAATCGAGGGGGTAAATGCCCACCAGAGGACTCCTATCCTTAGCGCACCTGGTTGATAAATACACTACCATACCAGGTGGCAAACTTTTTACTGCTTTTATCGACCTAAAGTCAGCATTTGACTCAGTCCCTAGGGGACTGTTGTGGTCAAAACTGGTCAAATGTTCTATCGATAGACGTCTTCTGTTCCTAATTAGATCCTTGTACAACCAGACCTCTAGTCAGGTCAGGTGTGGTTTGCAGGGAGAACTTTCAAATCCTATCCTGATTAAGAATGGAGTAAGGCAGGGTTGTGTTCTGGCTCCTCTTTTGTTTAATTTATTCTTATCTGACTTGGTCTTTCACATTGGACGTATTGAGTCCCACGCCCCAACTACTACTCAACTATGATGATCCTGCTTCTCCTTTATGCTGACGATGCGGCCCTCCTTTCATTGTCAAGGCCAGGTCTGAAAAGATTACTTTCTGCATTCAGGTCCTACTGTGCTGAGAACCACTTGTCTATTAATTACGACAAATCCAAAGTATTGGTGTTCTCTAGAGCCTGGAAATTGTATAACTGGGCTATCAATGGTAATGCTGTTAAGCAGGTTTTCCATTTTAAGTATTTAGGTATTCAATTTCAGAACACCGGTGCTTGGACTAGACATCGAACCCAGGTGCTGAATTCGGCCTCCTGTAGTCACCAGCAGATTTTAAGATTTTTTTTATACCCAAGGAGGCCAGTTTGTTCCTTCTGGTCTGTGTATTTACAAAGCCAAAACTTTGGCTCAAACTCTTTACGAAATTCCCATATGGATATGGGGCTTCAAGGATTGTATTGAAAGAACCCAGGCTGTCTTTTTTAGAAAACTTCTGGGTCTTCCTCCTTGTGTTGGTTTTGCTCCGATGTACCTGAAACTGGGCACTTGATCAGTCGAATGTATGGCGTGGATTAACACCTTTAAATGGTGGTTTCAGGTGCTCTTTCTGACAGTTCCTGGTAGCTACCTCTCCTTGGAGTTTGCTGACTCTCATATTTCTTGTTGGGAGAGGGAGCTGATGAAGAAATTACACCTGCTAGGTTTTACGGGGGATGCCCTGGGAGATTATGGCCTTAAGGACACCCAATTTAGGGTAGTCCAATAGCTTGTGGACATTGACTTGCAATATCTACGAGCCAGAGCTAACAAAACTTGCTCCCCTCTGATCTTCAGCCAATTCAATAATTACAGACTGAGGATGGCTTCCTATTTTTACACTCTAACCATTCCCAAGTATAGAAGAGCTTTCTCCCTAGCTCGCTTTAATGTTTTGCCCTCAGCACTACTGGATGGGTGATTTAAGAGGCTCCTGATTAACGAGCGGCTATGCCCCTGTGACAGAGCTGAGATTGAAACTGTGGAGCATGTCCTTTTATATTGCCCTATGTATAACACAGGCAGATCTAAGTTACTGTCTCTCCTTGAAACAGACCCTTCTAGACCCAATGTTAGTAATTTGTTCTTATATTGTCTAGGGGATGGCTCCTCATATATCACTTCTTTGATTTCCAAATTTTTTTTAAGAGCTGTAACCATCAGAGGAGAACACTAATTCTCCTTAGTCAAGTTTTTGGTGACCAATTGTTCATGATTAATTTCCCCATGTTCTTCTTTTCTTGTTCTTGTGTTTTTGTCTGTGACCGCAAATAAAGTATTATTATTATTATTATAATACCTATGTAATTATTCAGTAATAAATGTAGGTAAGTGTATGCTTTCCACAATTATATCTATTGCAGATTGTACAAGTTCTCCATTCATACACATTCTTTTGTTCACCCAGTTTAGCAACAGACAATGTTGGGTCCTCAATTTAGAGTTGGGCTACAGTTCCGTCACATTTTCCTCATTGACCAATATTAACTAATAGCAATAAGAACAAAAACTCTTTGATATCTGGAAGATCACAAATTGCTGGTCCCTGCTCTAGTTAATCTAGGTTTGATGAATAAATTTAAATGAATTTAAAAGCCACAAATTGCATCTAGAAAAAGCATTGCTAGGGAGAAGGTCAAAGCAGGCAAGCTAGTCATTGTGATCAAAGTCCCATTCTTTTGTTCTACAAAGAGGCAGGGCTTCAGTCATGACATCACAACTGCCTGTCTTCCCACTTACCCCCATGTTGCTGATTTTGTCCATTGGCCGCTATTCAAAACAATGTGATCAAAACAATTTCATCATGTTTCCCCTGCTGTGGGTTAATTACATGCCATTTGATATGGCAGCGATGGCAAGTGATGACCCAGTCCTCAGAAAAACAGAAAAAGCTTTCTTGCTCCTCTTATGAAGGCCTCTACTACATTGTGATTTGCAAACGTTGTGACAACATAATGCACATATAGTCATGAGTATAGTTTTAAAACAGCACTCCCTATTAGCACTGATGATGTTACCTAGTTGGGTAATGAAACATCTGCAAACTAATTACATCCACAGCATACAAGGAAAATCAATACAAAATGTTCTACAGATGGCACCTTCCTCCCGCTAGATTCGCAAAAATGTTTAACTCAGACCCAAATTGTTGGAAATGTGGGAAAGAAAAAGGCACTTATTTTCATACCTGGTGGACATGCCCGGAAGTGAAAAAATATTGGAATACAATTAGACAATGGATAGAAGAAATCACAAATCAGAAAATTGAATTTAATCCGGAAACTTTTTCATTAGGTATAATAACACAAAAATGCAATAAAACAGATAGATATATTATGTTACATATATTAACAGCTGCAAGGATTCCGTATGCACAACCCTGGAAGGAAAAAAAAGGTTCCACCAGAAGGCATGGTTATAAAAAAAATAATAGATTGTATAGAGATGGACAGGCTAATAATGAAAATAAAAGACAAAGAAGATTCAATTTATTATAGGGCCTGGGATGCCTGGTATGAGTGGTTTAGAAATAAAAAGAAAATAGAATGGCAATTAGGGAAAGAATGAGGGAATATGTAAATATATAAATATACCATGGAGAAGATTGAGATGTAAGGATAAAAGATATTGATTTATAGTAAGAGTAAGATGTAATGGTAAAGGAATAAGTAAATACATATACTGAAAAATGTGAGGAGATGCAAAAGATGTCTTGATGTTGATAACAATGTATAAAGTTTTATTTTATGTTTTTAAAATTTGGAAACTTAATAAAATTTATTTAAAAAACAAAAAGAAACATCTGCAAGAAAATAAGCAAGCCCAGAGAGCACCAAGGAGCCCTAATGTCAACCCTGAGCTAAAAATATTCTCCTTTATTAGCATATATAGTCAGTTTAGATATGTGTTGAGAGTAGATAGATTTAAATCCAAAAACTATTACAAAGGAGTTATTTTGCCACTTTGAGATCCTGGCAATTGTTCATTTTGGTAAGACAATGAGAGGAAGGTGAATTTTCTAGAGCCTAAACATGTTGGGTTCATGTATTATGCTATGTGGTTTCTTTAGTTTTTGCTTGGTGTAGCAGTTGAACCAAGCCATTGCAAATAGCTCAACAAGCCCATTTAATGTAATGCATGAACTTGGTTAATGTATTTCTTTCTCTCATGCTCCTTAGGCCTTCACTGTTATTGACCAGAACAGAGATGGAATCATTGACAAGGAGGACCTACGAGATACATTTGCTGCTATGGGTAAGAAAAAAGAGAGCAAGGTGAAACAGCATAAAGTAAAGCTGGATGGATGATCAGACCCTTAAATCCTCAGCAGTTAAACTTTCTTCCTTTCTGCATAGGTCGCCTGAATGTGAAGAATGAAGAGTTAGATGCCATGATCAAGGAGGCCAGTGGCCCCATCAACTTCACTGTCTTCCTCACCATGTTTGGGGAGAAGCTGAAGGGTGAGAGAGACTCTTGTTCTTCTCAGTCTTCTTCTATATGACAGATAACCTGTTCCAACATCTCACTAGTCTTCCTGTTTTATCAGGTGCTGATCCTGAGGACGTCATCATTGGTGCCTTCAAAGTGTTGGACCCCGAGGGCAAGGGGAATGTCAAGAAGAAATTGTGAGTGTTTACCTCCCATTTCACTTCCAGCAGAAGCACTGAACCCATTCAGACTTAATTCTAAAATGGCTGTTACTAGGTTCCCATGATCTCCTCCTCCATGTTGCAGGCACTTTGCAGTATTCCTCCTGATTAATTGCTTAAGCAACCCATATCTTGCCATTAAATTATATTCTAGATCAGTGGTCGCCAACTGGTGGGCTGGGGACAGGGGTGGGATTCTACCAGCTTGCACCTATTTGCTAGAACCGGTTGTTAACATTCTAAGCAGTTTGGAGAACTGGTTGTTAGAAGAAATTACTGGCCTAATCCTGTAAGGAAGGCAGAAAGGAAACATTCTGGTGTTGCTTACAGAAACTGCCTCTCTGTTTACCCTTATTACATTCTTGGTAGGACTAGGCTTCCTGTCTCAGGAATATCTCTGGAGTTTTTTTCCCCTCCTTTGCTGGTACTTTGCTTGTGTGGAGTGACCATTCAAAGTTACAATGGCACTGAAAAAAGTGACTTATGACCATTTTTCACACTTACGACTGTTGCAGCATCCCCACAGTCATGAGAGGCCAGGAGAGGAGATGCATGCCTCGATGTGAGTGATATTGAGTTGACCACACCCAGCCAATAACATGACCACCAAGCCACACCCACCACCTAAGCCACACCCACAGAACCAGTTGTTAAAAAATTTGAATCCCACCCCTGGCTGGGGACCACTGGTGGTCCATGAGAAAATTTTGGTGGTCTGCAGAGTAATGTCCCCCCAAAGCAATTAATCCAGTCTGTGCGGGAACACAAGGCTGCGCTGCCCACATGGCCTGCCCACCCATTGGCCCCCACCCTTCAGCCAAGCACAAACCTTACCTTGAGTAGACCCACGTGAGCTGAAACTGGAAGGTAAGACCAACGGTGGGAAAGGGAAATCCACCCAAGGGTGGCTTCCTGACGTTGGTGGGAAAGTCGGTCTCATATTCCAGAGCTGCAGTAGTCACAGGACTGGCCCTTTAGTCATCCCGGAGCAGCTCCTCCAGTCCATAGCAGGCTGGAGCACCCGGGTGGAGGAGCAGCTGCTCCGGGATGACCAAAGGGCCAGTCCTGTGACTACGGCAGCTCTGGAATATGGGACCGACTTTCCCACCAACGTCAGCAAGCCACCATCAGTCAAAATTCATAGTAGTGGTCTGTGGGATTTAAAATTATGAGTTTGGTGGTCCCTGAGGTCCAAAAGGTTGGCAACCCTTGTTCTAGATGACAATTGGATCAGAAATTACATATTTAGGGCCTTTGTCACATACCATGTTTCTTCTTATCTCGCTATAGCTTAGAAGAACTCTTGACTACCCAGTGTGACCGGTTCACTCCAGAAGAGGTAAGAAAATTTCTTTGCATCCTGCTGATGTTTCATTTTTTTCTTTATTCAGTTAAGAGTCCCCTTGCCCATATCTTTTATTTCAGTGTTATTTTTCCATGTTGTCAACCATTCAATCTAAAATCTGTAGAACTAGGACAAAAGGATAAAAGATAATCTGGATATACTGTATTGATTTCTTTGAATCATTACATTAATTTTAAATATATATGACAGGGGTGTCAAACTCACAGCCCGCGGGCCAGATACGTCACACACTGGCCACGCTCACCCCGGTTTAGTGAAGGGGGGGAAAGTTGCCACGAGTTTGACATCCCTGATATATGAGGTTGGTCTGAGGCAGAGGTGGTATTCAGCAGGTTCTGACCAGTTCTGGAGAACTGGTAGCGGAAATTTTGAGGAGTTCATAGAACCGGCAAATGCCACCTCTGACTGGAGATTTTACAGTATCTTTCCCCACCAAGCCACGCCCACAGAACTGGTAGTAAAAAAATTTGAATCCCACCACTGGTCTGAGGCCAGAGTCAATGCTGAACTTTTTTTCAACTCAATAAGATTCTTCAAAGGATTGCATAGCCCTTTTCTGTTACCACAGAATAAAAACAGATATTAACACTCACATTTTCTTTGCACATCAGTCAGCTTAACCACAGTGAGCATAACCATACTTGCAAATCAGAGACTGAGGGGATCAAGCCAGGAAAGAAGTGTATAACAATCTATATTGTTCTCTTTTAGCACAAATCTGAATTCTGAATAGCACATTAAAACAAATCATTTATGAGATATCCTTCTTTTGTTAGCCACCCACAACTCTTCTTGGGCAGTGCCAACAAGCACAATCATCCTCTTTCATGGCTAAAGAGCTGGCTGAGGAATTCTGGGAGTTGAAGTCCACCAGTCTTAAAGTTGCAAAGTTTGGAGACCTCTGATTTAGAGTTATAAATGAAAACATTGAAAGTCATCAGATGTAATCCTATCACTTCTCAACATAATCTTCTCTCTTTCTCGCAGATCAAGAACATGTGGCACGCTTTCCCTCCAGATGTAGCTGGCAATGTTGACTACAAGAACATCTGCCATGTCATCACACATGGAGAGGACAAGGAAGGGGAATAAAACCTGATTTTTTTTCACCCTTGCTTTGTGGGGAAATCTATGTAGACATCCCCAGGTTGGGGAATTTCATTTATGCTGGTCCCTGATGATCCACACTTTTGTAACCAAACAACAAACATCTCAATCTGTTATTTATTGTCTTATGGGGGGAAAAATTATGCCCCCAAAACTGACCCTAGTCACTACAACTAGTTTTAACCTAACTGGGGCTTCACACTGTCAAATGTCTTAATAAAAATGAGGACAGCTCTGTTTCTAATGCCCTTGTTTTCACAGTCTGCTCATCTGCTCAGGCCACAGAATGTTAGCATGGATTCGAATGGTGCCCCTATTCCCATTTTTAAAACAAATTTAGCTTCAGGTTCTGAATGTGATTGTTTTTCTTCCTTTTAGTGCTGCGATGGTTAATTAATTAACTCTGGGTTTTTTTTAGTGTGGCCAGTACAATTGTTAGGAAATAGTTTTGAGACACTTCCTTAGTAATAAGTACAGTCTTAAAAGATCATTCCTTCTTCTGTAAAAGAAAATGAGACAAGATCTGTTCCATATTAGCAGGCTTGAAACCCTGCGTTCCTATTGGTCCAGAAAAGCCGGATCATGATTGGATGGCTTGAACGTTTCTGATTGGCTCATACAGGTTTTGCCGCGATTGGCTGAAACCAAGTGCGGCAAACTCAAAGAGTTGTCATTGGCTGCCTAGCCACAGCCAGCTCTATAAGAAGAGCTGCCGCGCACTAGGGTTTTTCGTCTCAGAATCTATCTGTTAAATAAAGAGCTGTTGTTCACTACTCAAGCCTCGTCTATTCATGGGACCCACCGACCATACTTAACACTGGCGACGAGGGTGGGATTCTGAGACAATAAGGCTAACCAGCACGTGGCAAACGGCACAGAGACGACCAGCGAAATGGCCAGCAGCGCCACGCCGCCCACACCATTTAACCCAGCCAGTGAGGACTGGGAGTCCTACATTGATCATTTCCAAATGTTTTTGGAATCCAACAACTTGAAAGACGCCACCGGCAGCAAGAAACGGGCGGTATTTTTAACGCACCGCGGGCCTGCTGTTTTCAAAATGGCCAAGGCGCTAGCAAAGCCCGCAGATGTCAAAACGATGGATTGGGACAACCTAGCTCCCATCCTCCGAAACCACTATGCTCCGGCCGTACCAACTCTTATCCAAAGGCATGATTTTTATCAACGAGACCAGCGCGAGGGCGAGAGCATCAGTGAATTCGTGGCCGACCTGAGGGACCTTGGAGGTTTGTGCAAATTCGCTAACCTGGATGAGGCCATGCGAGACCGGGTTGTTCTCGGCCTGAAAGACCCAGCGCTCCAAAGCTGACTAATGGCCAAGGGTGACATCTCCCTCGCCGACGCCATAGCTGAAGCAACCGCAGCCGAAGCTACCTGCAAATCAGCGGCCCGAATGCGGCGTTCAAATGGAACCGATCGTCAATCGACCAGCGAGGCAACTACCACACCAGAAAAACTTGCAGCCACCACCCACCATGGCAACAATGAATCCCCTTCTGACAGCGAAGAAGAAGAGATTCGCCGACTTCAGTCAGAACGTGATCGGCAAGACCGGCGAGGTCGTAAGTTGTGGTACCAGTGTGCCGGCTGCAGAGGAAATCACCCGCGTTCCGAATACAAGTTCCTGGATGCTGTTTGCTGACATTGCGAGAAGCGGGGGCATATAGCTAAAGTATGCCATAATAAAAGAAACTTCAGCCCCCGGCGTTGAGGCAACAGCCCGAGAAGACAAGATGACACCCCCACCAAAAACTGGGACCGCCAGACTGACAGCTGGTGGAGCCAGGACGGCCAAAACAAAAGATTCAAAGAGGCACCGCGAAGAGAAGAAACACACCAAACAGTTATCATCGCCCATTCTTCACCAATAGATGCACGGAAGATACGCAACGAGGTTGGTATCGAAAACCAACCATGCACCATGGAGGTAGATTCTGGCTCCTACCTCTCCATGGTCTCCTGGTGCACCATAAAGCGTCTAATACCCAGCATACGCCGCCAGGAACTAAGTGACCAGAAATTGATCCTGAGGGACTACCAAGAAAACCGCATCCCAGTGGCTGGCATCGGGCATTTCAAGATCACCTTCAAAAACCGCACCAATATTTTACCACTTACAATTGTAGATAAAGACCGCCCCAGCCTACTCAGATTACAATGGTTCACATCACTAGGGATCTAGATGGCAGGCATCAATCACACAGACGAAGAAGATTGGGAGGCGACGCTCGTACGAGACTTCCTAGAGGTCTTCGATGATACTTTAGGCAAGTACAAGGGGTCCCCAATCTCCTTCAATCTTAGCCCAGACATCGCTCCCATCCGCCTCAAGCCATGCCGAGTGCCGTTTGCACTCAAGCCTAAGATAGACGAGCAATTAAATAAGCTCATCACGCAAGGGGTATTAGAACCTATCGACCATGCCCGTTGGGAAACACCCATTGTCACCCCCATCAAACCAGATGGCTCCCTGAGAATCTGTGGAGACTACAAGGCCACCCTGAACCATGCCCTGCAGCAGAGTGCCTACCCTGTGCCAGTAGTCCAGCATCTCCTACACTCACTGGGGGGTGGCAGAATTTTTGCAAAGCTCGACCTGGCACAAGCCTATCAACAACTACCGGTCGATGCTGAAACCGCCGAGGCACAAACGATCATGACACATCGAGGGGCATTTAAATGCAACCGACTCCAATTTGGAGTCAGCGTCGCACCTGGGGTTTTCCAAAGCCTAATGGAAAGACTGCTGCAGGGAATTAAAGGAGTCATACCCTATTTTGACGACGTGCTAGTAGCAGCCCCCAATAAGAAACAATTGGAGAAACGGCTAAGAGCAGTCTTACAAAAATTTAAAGACTCCGGCCTCAAAGTAAAAAAAGAGAAGTGCCAACTATGTACTGAAAGGGTTGAATTCCTGGGGTACCTCCTAGACAGACATGGAATTCACCCTACTGACAAAAAATTAAAAGCCATCAAGGAAGCCCCCAGACCGAAAAATAAAATGGAACTCCAAGCATTCCTTGGACTCATTAATTTCTATAATGTTTTCCTACCCCAGAAGGTGACTGTCATAGAACCCTTGCATAGGCTCCTGGATAAAGCATCATCCTGGATCTGGGGAAGGCGAGAGGAACACGCTTTCCAACAAATAAAAAACCTTTTAACTTCCGACGAAGTCCTTATTCAGTATAATGAAACCCTGCCGCTGACTGTCACATGCGACGCATCACTCTTTGGTGTTGGGGCAATCCTAAGCCACACCTTGCCGAATGGGAAAGAGGCTCCCATTGCCTTTTTCTCAAGAACCCTGTCCAAGCTGGAGAGGAACTACAGCCAGCTGGACAAAGAAGCCCTAGCCATCGTTTCCGCAGTGAAAAGATTCCACGAATACATTTATGGTAGGACCTTTTCAATTATTACGGACCACAAACCCCTACTAGGCATTTTGGCTGGGAATAAAGCCACTCCAAACATCCTGTCACCTAGGATGACGAGATGGTCTGAATTTCTTGCCGCTTATAATTACTATTTAGCACACCGACCCAACAGGACCATCTCGCACGCTGATGCTTTAAGCCGATCCCCACTACTGGACGTGCAAGACGACCCAGCACCCACATTATCAATTTTACAAATAGAAACAGTAACCATGCCACCATTGACCGCGCAAGACATTGCCCACGAAACAAGAAGGGACAAACGCTTGGCGCAAGTCCTCAGCTGGGTGGAGAGGGGTTGGCCAGAAAGCGAAAAAAATGAACTCTTTAAACCGTTTAAAAACCGGCAAACTGAACTTTTTTCACAAAGGGGGTGCATTCTTTGGGGAGACCGGGTGGTTATACCAGAAACATTACAGAAAAAAGTTCTAGACATGCTGCACGATGGGCACCCGGGCATTGTATGAATGAAATCCCTGGCCAGAAGCTACGCTTGGTGGCCAGGCATGGACAAACAAATAGAAACTTGGGTCACCGCTTGCAGCAGATGCCAAGAGACTCGCTCGACTCCTCCTGCAGCTCCACCGCTAGAATGGGAAACCCCCAGAGGCCCCTGGTCGCGAATCCATATTGACTTCGCGGGGCCAACCAAAGGACATACCTTTTTAATCACTGTTGATGCTTACTCAAATTGGCTCGAAGTAAGCAAAATGAAAACAACCACCACAAAGCCGTTATCAAAAAATTAAACAAACTTTTCACCACGCATGGTCTGCCAGATGTGATAGTATCTGACAATGGACCTCAATTTACCGCATTGGTGTTTGAGCAATACTTGGCAGACCGTGGCATCCGACACGCATTGACATCGCCCGTGCACCCGGCGGCGAACAGGCGAGCTGAACGCATGGTTCAGTTCACAAAAAAAACCATCCAAAAGATTGAACACGGCAACATCCACGAAAAAATAAACAAAATGCTTCTAATACAACATATCACACCCAACACAACCACGAACAAATGCCCAGCAGAATTACTCATGGGCAGAAGGCTCCGGTCACCTCTAGACCGTTTGCACCCTACTTACACTCCAGAGAAACCCCCTGGATCTACCAGCAGACACCGAGCCTTCAACGTGGGAGACACTGTTTTCGCTAAAAACTTTACTGGGGACCCACTATGGCTACCTGCAAAGGTCACCCAAGTCACTGGCCCCCGGGCCTACCGACTCGAGACCACCGATGGGAGGAGCTGGAAACGGCATATTGACCAGCTACATTCTAGGCTGGCCACTTTTCCCCTCACAGACTCTAACCAGGAAATCAGAGTGGGGGGGAAAACCTCAAACTTAGAAAAAGAACCAGTATCTGCGCAAGCAGAACATCCCCCACACACATTAAATAAAAACCAAACATTAAACCAGGAATACTTACCTACAAACAGGGAACCGAGGCAGATGGGTGCTTCACCTGGAAGTAGCAGCCGGACAAGCTCAACCAGCCCAGAGAATACAGGCGGGAGCAACAG